TTACTTTGTATAAAAATAAAGGCAAAATGGCAATTGCAACAACTACGGGGGTATCTCGCTACTAAGCGTAGCAGGAAAAGCTTTTGCAAAAGTCATCTTAGTGCACCTAGAACAGCTGGCGAATCAGGTGCTGTATGACTTGGGTAAATCATTTAGAACATGTTTACACTTGCTTCAAGTTCATATGAGTTAGAGCTCTGTTTATAAAGGCTGGAGGAGAGGGTATTTCAGGAGAGCTGAGCTACAGTGGAGTTTCACAGGAACACATTATCAGCACCCTCCCTGATTATTCTCTAGGGCAATGCGACTCCACATCACCAGCAATTCAGAGATGTGCTTAAATCCCAAAATTCACTGCCAAGTGTACATGTCTGCTTGGGACTGTACATTATAAGTAGTGGTTATTAACTTGGTGAATTCAGAATTGTAAAGGGATAGTGGTGATGCTTTATAAGATTATCCTCTGTAATGAGGCCAAGCCAAGGTCATTGTCACATGGCTAATTCCCATAGCAGGAAGACAGCCAGTTCAATAAGTTAAGACTATCTAGAGCACCAGATTACTCTTTTCCCCTGGTCCTGAATCAACAGTGTTTGTGCTTGTTTCACCTTTTTGACCTCATTCTCCTGTAGATGTTGTCTAAATCATCTTTCTCATGTATTGGCTGAATGACTTTAGCACACCAAAGTACTGGTCTGAAAATTGGCTTGTATCGTTCATGGATAGCTAGTAGTGAATAAAGTTTGATCTCCTACTTTACCTTTCATACAAAACAGAAATGTATACAGTCTCTTTGAACTGTCTGTGCTTATACCAATAGAGCAACTATACTGATACTTGATCATTGTGATTGAAGCAGTTAATTTTAGTTTATTTTCTTCTGGTAATATTTTCAAAAGTACATAAGTGTTTTAGGAGCCTAAGTGCAAAAGTGACTTGGGTACCTAGGTCCAGCTGCTCAAAGGTATTTAGGCACCTAACATATTGATTTCAAAGGAAGTTAGGTGCCTAATTTCCTTTGATGATCTTTGTGCTAGCTCCTAAGTGCCTAAATTTTACCCTTCTCCATTTTAGGGTGGAGGGATGTTACCTTTTTTCCCTATAAGCGTTGTAACACAGGCATTAGATGTTGTTATGAAAAACATCTTTTTAAACCAAACATAATGGAAAAAGAGGAAATAAAATATTAAATTAACCATGAGCGCATATGCTTTGATAATGTTAAATCAGGAGCTGATCAAAAAATTGAATTTCCATGCCTCAGGAAATTCCAATATTTTGAATTTTTTTTCTTTCTTTTTTCAGAGATCAGAAAGTTGAGAAGAATTTGTAATCAATTTAGAAATCCTAAAACATTTTCTTATAATATTTTCAATTGAAATGAAATGCTTTGACATTCATGAATTGAAGCATTTAATTTCTGTTTGTTGAGCAGAATTTAAATGTTTTGTTTTGACGCATGATATTGAAATGAATCTGCCGACCTGCCACACTGCCTCATAGGAGTTGTAGTTTGGGTTCCTCATATACCCATGCTCTTCTATGGATTGGGCTTCCCAGCCAGACTATATTTCATGTGATGCATTGCAGTCACAGGCTGTGATGTCTCATGGAGGTTCAGCCATAGGGGAGAGTGTGATGTAGCATGGAAGAGGTAGCTAACTGGGGAGAAGAATATGGTCATCTCCTATGTGACATCACGACAGCTCAAGTGGACACAGATTAATCGCAAAATAACAGGAAACAAAATGTTTTGACTCAGTTTGACAAATCAAAATGTTTCAATTTGGGATGACCCGGCCCAAAACTACATATTTTGTTTAAGTTTTCCCAACATAAAGATGAAATTTCTGTTTCATAGAAAACATTTTGAAGGAAAATTTCCATCCAGCTCTAGTTAAATCATTGCTACATACATGATATTCACTCAGACAAATCCTCAGCTGGTTTAAAAGGGGGTAGCTCTGCAGAATCAATGAAGATATGCCAGGTCATAGCAGCTGAGGATTTGGCCCACTGTTTGCCTACACTGAATACTGCAATGTTACATGGGGAAGCAGATATCCCCTCTCCACATTTCTCCTATGGAAAAGGCAATTTTTCATGTACCATCCATTCAACAAGAAATGTGAAAATGTTCAGTTTTACTGTAAATACACCAGGAAAGGAGGTTGAATTAAATTGTGCATAGATTAGGTGTGGTTTTATTTTAAAGAAAGCAAAGCATTGACTATGTACAGATATATAAAGAATATTACACTATAAATAGTATAAAGAATATGCTAATTACAGATATATACTACAGATGGTAGGGGCAGGGGCAGTGGATCTGCAACTAACTGGATTCACTGGCCCACTTCCCCAAAGCTAGGAGAATACAGCAGCTCTCTGGGTTGGCATAGCCCAGAGGCTGCAGTAGTAGCTGCAAAAAAAAGTTCTGCTGCTGCTCCATAACCTGTAGGAAATGAATTCATTCCATTCACTCCCCGCAGACCTTCCCCAAATACACACTGTTTACTCGGGCTGTGCAAGCTTTACCACCTTCTATCCCATTTTGTTTGCACTGCTCTCTTTCCATTATCAAGAATGGGGTTGAGAGGAAGAGCTCCAGGGAAATATTAGTGCTTAGAAAGGTTAAGTGGCATTTTGGAAGCAAATTAATTTATTCATCTTCAGGCAAATCAAAGGCAGGGACCACAACAGTGTAAATGTCCTAAAGAAACAATTTCATCCAGTCTGTGGGGAATCCATTGCATGAATGACCAGTAATGTCTTCATGTCTTCCCTACCAGAGAAGAGATTATAAGCTATGAAAGTCTCTATGGGGTCTGTTTTCCCTGGTGATTAGTGTAACTCTTATTAAAATCACTTGGAGTTACACTTACGAAAGGGGATTTCTGATCCAATACCCATTGAACCTGGATCAGGCCCTCAGAGGAGAGGAGACATGTTTATGTTAGACTTTTACAGTTTAGTCCATTCTTTATGGATAAAAAATGATATTTTCCAAATACATTTCAGATACTAAAATGATCTTGATTTCATTAGTCACTGATACCTTTGCCAGGTGTCATTCTCAAACACTAGGTGTTTGGGCCACATCATGCAGTGTGTGAGTGAACGTAGGGCTGGAGGAATGCACCTTTAACTCTGTTCCTATCAAAATATGATGTGAATACTTCACATAGCACCACTTTCAAATGTATCATTCTATTGTTTTCCCATAAGCCTCCTTTGCCTTCTTATATTCATCCACCCGTCAGATAATATGCAATGATGATAAGCGGACACTTCATGGGATTAAATCTTTTGACTGCCCTGTGGATCATATAAAGCATATCTCCATTTGGATGATTCAGAGGAAAGGAACAATGTAACACTTGTACTGAGCTAATTTACGTTTGACCCACTTACATGCTCAGCATGCTTAACAGCCAAAATGCAGCCGGACGATTGTACAGGTGATGAATTAGCAATGCTTCATCAGCATCCTCAAATAGCATTGTGCTAAATCCCAGCTCCAAATTCACATTTCATGCAGCTGAGTGCTCTTACCAACATTTTTCATAACTTCTCTGTAGATGCAGATTGTGAACATGCCTTTAACCAACACATTTTTACAATATTTACTTGAAAGAAGTCGATTACTTAGGAGGCTGATAAGGGGTGTCAGATGCTTTCATTTAAGGTCACTAATTTGAACACCAGCACTCTTTTGTAATGAATAAGGCTCTATATCTGTCATGGCCCTGACTTTGGTGACATAACACATGACTTTGTAATGTGGCTTATCTGTGAGACATCATCAGATGCTGCGCCTGTGTTTGCTGATGGTGGTCTAGTGACACGACACTGAAAAAATGGATCAAATCTCTAAAAGGTATTTTTCAATATTTTCTCTGCCATAGTTAATAAATGTTGGAGGAGAAATTATTATGGAGAGTTGCCCCTTGAAGAGTTAGGGCCCAGTCCTGCAAGCTGAGCTGCACAGGTGGTCCCTGCAGCTGTGCAGAAACCTGTTGAATTCAGTGAGGCACCACACAAGGGCAGGGATCCTCCTGTGCTGGTCAATGTGCAGGACTGGGGGCTTAATGGATAATATTTGGAGACAAAGTTCAGTTATTGAAGTGTGAAATAGTATTTCCTGCTTCTAGTGCAAATCTCAATTTTCTTCAGTATTGTTGCATCCATTTATGTATTCCAATAGATTAGAATTTAGAAGAAATGCAAAATATGTTTTTTACCAAAAAAAAAAGGGGTACTCAGCTGTGGGTTAAATCCTGCCTGTGCAAAACAGAACCAAACTGGGAGTGGGAGGGAAGCTGGGTGAGAATAATGATACCTTCTGCCAGAGAAGCATATTTGGCAGTCTATATATAGCATGTTCCTCAAGCTTTTTCAGGTTGCTAAACCCTTATTCAAAGTCTAAAAATGTCACGACACCTTCACATTCACAATAAAAGTAAGAGCAAAAAATTATATTACAACTACTGCCACCACTACTACATTTGACTCGACAGACTTTGAAGGTTTTGCCCATCCCAAAGTCTTTTTGGACATTTTGTTATCCGTGCTTTAGAATTGTAATAAAATTGTCAACAGCTTGCACCCCCTGCACCTCAATTGCCTTTTGTGATTCCCTCCTCCCTGACCAGCTAACTAGTTAAGTGCTGATTCAGAGAAACATCCCTATTCAGGCAATAAGCACTTAAACATGTGCCAAAATATAAGCATATGCTTAAGTGCTTTACTGAATCATCAGTGTCTTAAAATAAAAGTAAAAAGTCCACTTCTTCTCCTTTTTAAATGTCTTTTATTCTGCAGTTTGGAAATTGTTATATATTTCTTTGCCCTCACAGGTTTGAGTAAGACTTCAGGTTTGATCTCATAGTTATGTAAACTATACTTCCCAATAACTATTTATCAGTTTAGGACATATATTTTGATTTCATGCTGAATTGTGGCAGTTTGACAATAACACGTTTGTTTGTTTTAAACAGGACGCAGTCTGCTAATGGATCAGCTCAAGCAAACATGTTAAAGGATAGAACACATCTATCTGCAGAAACAGACAGCAAAAAACACCATGAAATGAAGACTTCACAGCCCAATATATTAGTTGAACCAGCTGATAAGGTATAATGTGTCTCAAAACAGCAGGGAATTTCTTAAAGTTTGAGTGAAATCCTGTCCCATTGACGTTGATGGGAGTTTTCCCACTGAGTTTTATAGGGCCAGTGTTTCATCCCCAAAATGTAATTTTAGGCCAGGTTTTCAGTGGGCCTCCAAAAATACATTGACAAAACAGAGGGTACTGTTTGGTGGTTTGCTGTTTGACATTTTTATATGACCAGCTGCTCATATTTAGGCTAAGGGCATGAAAAATGGATGTGCTAGCAAGTTCTGTAGCACATCTTTAGAGGTCTGCAGAAAATGTATGCATCTTTAGAGGTGTGCAGGTATGCGGGGCTCTCTTATATCTCATTAGTGCAGGCCCTTAAGTTCAGTAATTTTAAGCATATGCTTGTCTTCTAGTTTAATAGTAAATGTAAATAAATAAGCAAATAAAATTCTTGCCTCAGAAATAGGAATGAATAAACAGATTCAGATAAAGAAAAATGTATCACCCACCCCGGAAACCAAACATCAACCGAACCTTTTTTCCTTTCCCTGGGAAGAGCCAGAGGAGGAAGGATTATGTTAGATACAGGAGACCCAGAGATATCAGCAGAAAGGTAGCAATAGGCTGGAGTAAATCCATGGATCCAGAATAAATGGGAAGTAGAATTGTTTTCAGATAAGGGATGATACATTTTCTTTGTCCATATGAGAAAGTAGGCAGTGTTATTGTGCACAAATTGGGTAACAGAGACTTTAGGTCACCGTACAAAAGGGAATTATAATAGCCACGGCAAGAAGAGATGGAGGAATGGGTGAGGTTTTCAGCAAAGGTAGAGCAAAGGCATTGCCGTACATGAACAATAAATAGGCACTCAACCTGCAGTCGGATCCATGAGAGCAAACACCCTGCCCATTGCAGATCAGGGCCATCATCTGTAAAGTATGAGAATTACTTTGCAATTTTTGGATGAAAGCAGCAATATACTTGTATTGTTGTTATCATTAATCAGTCACGGTCCTCTAAAGAAAGCCACTAGAGTCCCAAATAAGCAACACATTTTAGTATGGGCATGAGTGTTTTGCTGAATCAGGGCCTAGATTTAGATGTGAAATTAATGTTAACTTTTCTCTCTTCTGCTTAGGATCATGCCAATGGTCCCCAGATACTACTCTGCATGTAATTATTTTACTATGTTTTAGAAGATAATGAACAGATACAATGTACTTCTTTGTACTTACATTTTTTTTAAAAGAGCTAATTAAGAAGCAGTTGGAATGATCCAGATACATTTATGCCAGACTGTTCTTCACTTTTGGTACAAAGATCTTCCATAACTATTACAATCCTGCATTGCACATTTGTTTAGACTTTTGGTAGTATATATCACCATTTAATATCATGTTCCAAATGATGTTTCATTTTATTCTACCCCCTTTCTCATAGTGCCACTAAAGCAATTAAACCCGTAGATAATATCTGTTGCAAAAGCGCATCGCATTTTGCTTCTGAAAGTCTGAAAAAGATGCTTTTCATCTTTTAGTAAAGAGAAAACACAGAGGAAGTCAGAAACAGGTTTTTTTTTAAATTCTAGAATATTATTAAGTGAAATATAAGAATAGAAATACTTCCTCCATTTTATTTATTCATATTTTATCCCATCTATACATGTTGCATGTTTAGCCATTGGCACAGATACTTAAAATATGATCATTTCCTTCCATAATACTCATCTGAATTAATTGTACTTCTTTTACATGCTAACCCTTAGATATTTTAAAATTTCTTGATTTGAAAATCTCTGTCCTGGAATTAGGAATAGGTAAATAAAATGAATCTATGTGTTAAGAAATAAGGATTCAAACATGACAATTGCACTTAGACCAAAATGTTGCAATATTTCTGACTGTCCTTTCTACTGATATTCATAATTAGTGATCCCTGTACAAGCTTCATTTTTAAGACACGTCTTAATGCCGGTTATCTATTTATACAATTTTCAAGGTGACTTTGCACCTGTAAAAATGTCTATGAATATTTTTCATATCAATGTCAATTCTAACTGCATTTTCAGAAAAAGAGGTCTCATTTGTAGTGCTGTCAGATGATCTAATTTTAACTATTTCATTATTGCCCTGCAAATCAGACTGTTTCTTCTGCTGCTACTCCTTTCAGATATTCCTCTCTCCTTTCGACTAATATCAGACACTCCCAAGAAGATGGATTTTATATATTAATTTCTCATTTGCAAAGGAACATGAGAGAAAAAAATACTTTATTTGGAATGTTTTTCATACTAAACATCAGAACAAGAAGAAATACTGAGCAAACAGGCAAATGTAGATTATAAAAAAACCCCAGAGCTGCTCCTTATGAATATAGCAGTTAAAAAGGACATAATTGTCAGGGTGCATGGAAAAATAACTGTCCCAAGGCATAAGAACAAATAGAACCATGAAAGCATGCAGGCAGCAGAAAACAAATGACAACACAGATTCAGCAACAATTGAGAATCACAAAGATATTTCATTGACAAACTATTTGTGTCACTGTCACTGCCAGTGGCTAATGCAAAACTGTTTACAGGACTAGCAATGAGATTTTCCAGACTAGGTCTTCAGATTTTTTGCTTGCCTTCTCTTTTGTCAACATCACAACATATTTTCAAAGGAATGGGTGAATAATGTTACTGCAGTATAAGGCAGAATCGCAATGTACTATGTAGTAATACAGATTTACTGTAAGGCATTACAAGATAACAGGAAGTCTCCATTTATCACTTTGAAATGACAAATTCACCTTCATCAGAGGGAGAGAACTATTAAATATTGCTATAACTATTGCTCGTCTTAAACTCTAGATCCGATAGAAAGGAAACTCAACTGCATGTTCTTTAAGGACTTGTGTGGTTGATCAATTTGCCATAAAGTTGAACTATTGACAGCTAATTCATATTGCCTACTTTAAGAAGATAGTGGAGCTATCATAAATCAAGAAACGCAATCAAACTGTTTAAATGATAGGTGAGGCTGGTGACATTGCTTATTATTTAGCTTTCCCAACACTCCTCATTATAAGACCCTGTTTACAATTCCTTATAACTTTCCCAAACTTTAATCATTTGAGCTGAAATTTTCTATGCTAGGTGGCTGCTTCAGGCTGATTTTGAGGGCGGGGGGGGAAAGATTTTACCCAGACCAGTTCAGCCACTTCAAAGAATGAGGAGCTAGGGAAAAATACATCGTTTTGCCCATATTAAATTCTGGCAACCTTTTCTTTGAAAAGTTCTAGTGCACCCAGGTTTTGAAATTTGGTGGTGGTGGACCTCTGTGTCAGGGATGTGTTTTATGCTGTCCCCCCTGCAAATCTACCCAACTTTGGCTAAATTATAAGCCTTTGGAAAATCACAGTTCACATATAAGCAGTAAAGACTTACTAGACCCTCACAACAATGTAACCAGGCTGTATGTTCAGCTTACAGGAAGAGTGATTTGCATGCAAAGGTCATGCCAGTTGTCATGAAATATCTTATTATGTTTGTCTTGTTGAACAAAAAGGGTATTTAACTATTTTTGTTAAAGGGGGAGATTTTTAGACGATAAAGATAAATCTTACAGCCCCATGGCAAGAGCCATTCAAAATAGTTGAGTTATAAATAAAAACACTTGAAATGTTTCAATTTTTTTTTTCAAGTTTTGCAGCAGTTCATTGGAAGTTGGTCACCTCCTCTCCCCTCCCCCGCTTCTCACTCCCCCACAACCTATATAATTGACAATATCAGCACAGCTTTTGTTGTTGTGGTTTAGTTCAGGACTGTGCATTTGTGACTAGATGGCTCTCCTAGATTTTTTTTGACTGCTCCTGCCATGTAGTGCTGAGTTCACTGACTTAAGCTGAGTTACTCTGGATTTATACTACCGAGAGGTGAACCCAGACCCATTGTCGGTGTGTGTAATATATTGCAGATGCAATATAGTAGTTTCAACAATCTCTACTCCTCATTTATGAGATTAATTTTCATCCTGCACTAAAGCTTCAGAATTGATGCCAATTTTTACAGCAAATGTAATAAGCTCTTAATAAAATTTAGTTTATTAATATTTTATTGTATGCATTTTATATTGGCTTTGTACAACATCCTGGGGTGCTTGCATGGAGGATGTTCTCTAAATATTAATGTAATTAATTGTGTTTGCTTAATGAACAAGTATTAAAAAAGAAATAACGCACAAGCAAATTATGTCATTCTGCATAACATGGCACCAAGATTGTTGTTCTATCATCAGTGGTAAAAAACTAAGCATTGAGAGGGGAAATGTGTGTATGAGATAGAGAGGAGGAGTGGTATTGTGGTGGGGGGGTGGGGGTAGAACAGAGATGCCTGCATAGCTATAGGGACAGTTCAGGGGAATAGAAGGGTCCAGACTGTCAAAAGCTAGATTGAAATGCAACAAAGAGTGGAAAGAGCCTTCATCAGCAGAAATAAGGAAGGTACTAACTACACAGAGGAGCGTGGTTTCCAGCTCATGTGAAGACCTGGACCAAACAATAGGGGAGGTAAGAGGTTAAGTGTCCAGGTATTTTTGTGAATGGAGCTTGTGATGATGGAAAAGTCAAGAGCATTGAAAAAATACATGGGAGTGGAGAAGAAAAGAAAAATATGACAGGGGCCTGTATTGTCACAAAGTAGGGCAATATTGGATTAAAGTAGGAAGCAGATTCTTTGCATCTCACCAGGAATGGAAAGATAGCATAGAGAATAAATGGCACACAAAAGGGACTAAGGATTGCCAGCACTTTTGGAAATAAGGGAAGAGTAGAGATTAAACTTTTCAGTCAAGAGTTTATTCCTGCAGAGCTTCTGATAAGACTTGCAGATCTCATAGTGGATATGATAATGGTGTAACATGTTATTATTTTCTGAGGGGATGACATGATCATTTGAGGGTCTGTACTTGGTGGATATGTCAGAGGGAAGTTGAACAGTAGGAAGCAGTGCAAAGTTTGCTTTTGGCAAGATTGTTAAGTGTGACAGAATATACCCCTGTGTTCACAACCTACACACTATTGTAATAATGTTTGTCTAAGATATGCTTTGTGAGGTATCATTTAAAAACTCATGATTTGCTGATCAGCAAAAATGCACATGGCAGCATTATATGTGAAGTTATAAACATAAGCTGATATCATGACTAAAAGTATGTTTTCCAGATAAGTCTGGAGAGTGGCCAAATCAGTTCCCCAGAGACAGAGGGCAAGCTGATGCCTCAGCTAGGTGTAAACAAGACTGATGGACCATTACCTGCTAAATGTCCATTCTGTGGCAGGAAAGGGGGCCGGGGCAAAAATCTACATCTTAGCAAAGAAACAGTGTGGAGTTTCCTTCCACACAGGAAGGACTATAAAAAGAAGGGGCAGACACGGCATTTACTGTACCTGAAGAGACAAAGAAAGCAGCTACTGGACTCTGGGTAAGGGATCCTGACCTAAAGGGTTTGGTCATTCAGACTGTTGAAAGCATGTGGTGAGAAAACTTTGCTTTGAATCTAATGTAGTTTAAGTTAGGCATCAGTAAGTGTTTTATCTTTATTTTTCTTGTAATCATTTTTTGACTTTTATGATTTGTTACTTGTACGCACTTAAAATCTCTTTTTAAAGTTAATAAACTTTTTTCATTATTTTATCTAATTCAGTGTGTTCAAGTTCAAGCATCTGGGTAACTCCATTTGGGATAACAAGTTGTGTACATATTATTCCCTTAAAGGAATAATGGACTTAATATATTTGTACTGCCCAGGAGAGGGTTGGTCAGTACAGGACATACATTTCTGGGGGGATATCTGAGTCTGGGAGAGTGTTGGAGTCAACCTGTGGTAATATTTAAGGCTGGTAAGAGCCAGGGTGTGCTTGGCTGGCTGCAGCGCACACCAACATCGCTGGGAGTGACTTACACGCTGGAGGCTGTTTGTGAGCAGTCCAGATTGGAGGCTATAGCTGCAAGGCATTGTAAAGGGCACCCCAGGTTATGGGGCTGGTGTGACACATCGACTCATTTGTCTGGATTGTATCCTGGTATGTCACAATAAGTCAGAGAGAGAAAGGGATAAATGCAAATCTCAGTAAAGTAGGGAGTCATCCCTGACTTAAATCGGTGCATCTCTCCTGACTTCAGTGATATCACAC